CCTCGCCGACACGTCCGGAGATGAGGTAAGAAGTGCCCTGGTGTTTAAAACAAGAAAAGGAATTTCAAAAAAAATTAACAAGCATTAACAAACACAATAATTCAAACGAGATCGAAAGGATGAATGACAAAAAAGTTAATTTCAAATTTTCAATAACCTCATCGTCACCATTCTCTTGCAACAATGTAAGATCGATTGAATCCGACAAAATAGACATATGTACTGCTTCCTCATACTTCAGCTTTGCAACGAAACCCGGCTCAACCATAAAGTCGCTATAAAAAAAAACCGTTAGACGTTAGTAATGGCTGACAATAGGAAAAGGAAGCGGAGTAGACTGTCGTAACGATTAGTTGGTAAACAATACTTACGGGTACCATTGCGATATATCATCCATTGTCAGGAAATTACAGCACGGAAACCCTACTCAATTTCTGTTCTTGCACGTACTGTGGATGTTCAATAGGAGTATAAGAACACATTATGATCAACTATTCTAATAGAACGTACCAAATAGTTAACAATCAATGAAAGAAAAGTACCTGCGGCGGTAGAAACGTGGCCGGCGACACCGCGTGGTTAGTCGAGCAGATCGAGAACGAGTCAGCGGCGGAGGTGGCAAGCGACGATGGTGGCCCGCTCTTCTTCCCACAACCGACGTGGTTAGTCCGGGCGACTTTCCTCCGCTCTTCTTCCCACAACCGCTACAGCGAATCAACGGCGGAGGTGGCAGGCGACGATGGTGGCCCGGAGGAGGAGACCGCTACTGAGCGACCAGCGGTTGCTTGACGGGCGGAGGCGGAGACATGCAAAGGAGGAGGAGGGAGGATGAGGGCGGTTGAGTATGTGTCTGATCAGTTTGAAGGAAAACCGAGAAGGCAGCGCATGGGGAGGGGAGAAAAAGCAGAAGATAAATCGTTTGCTAGATTTGGTAGGTAAGTAGTCTTCCAATTTTCAACTTTGCCATTATTGTTCTCTGTTTTATTTTATTTTTTACAATTGATTATTGTTAAAGCGACAAAGGGAGGGCAGGGGCAGCCGCCGATCTGCTCGACTAAGCCCTATTGGGCCTGGTACAAAAGGCCTGCTTAGTTTAGTTTTGTGTTTTAATTTTACAAGAACTCATTTTATAGTTATAAATATAACAGTGGAAGTATATTGAATCAAAATCCGTGTTCAACATGAATGGTGAAGAATACCCATGGTAATGACCAGGACGCTGGTTCGACCCTCATACCATTACAATTTTTTTTGTTTTCAGCTACACCTATAGAACGACGCCGTTCTCTAGGCCACTTTCGATTCAGAGACGAGCACAAAACGATGCCGTTTTTTCATGTATCATCGTGTTCCCTAGCCCCCCAAATTCCCAATTATCCAGTTGCCGCCGTCACCACCGTAATCCGACGGCCGTCTCTCTTCATCGTCCAAACTTTCTCACTCCGTTACGATTCTGGACTCCGACCAAGAGAATTCCCTTTCATGTATCGTCGTCTTCCCTAGCCCCCAAATTCCCAATTATCCAGTTGCCGCCGTCACCACCGTAATCCGACGGCCGTCTCTCTTCATCGTCCAAACTTTCTCCCTCTGTTACGATTCTGGACTCCGACCAAGAGAATTCCCTTGACGAGACCCAATCCCCTCTCTCCATTTCAGCCTTAGTCATTGTTTACAGGACGTAAAGGTCATAGTCTTTCACCGTCAATTGATTCGGATTCGTCGCGAAACGGTAGCTGTCATCTGCGACCTTAAAAACAGATGATGATGAGCCAAAGTCGATGTAGATCAGAAGCAGGAACGATGATGATGATGGTAAAATTAGGGGTTTGCAATTGGGGTATCTAGAAAAATCGTAATGACGATGATGGTGGTTTAGGATTGTCGAATTGGGGCAACCTTTTAATGGAACTTTATTTTATCAATTGTATAATTTTTGGGTGTTCATTAAAAGATCTAGAAGAAATAAGGTATCATCTGAGTTCTCACAAAAACGAATAGGTATCATGTGAGAAAATAAAACGCAAATTATTATTGGGGGCTATATAGCACATATAATTATTTAAGAGGTGCAAGTAGTAATTATTATTACTAATTTTAATATAATTTATAATGACCGTTTGATTAGATCTACGGTAGAGAATCCTGTCGCATAGTATGTGTCTGACGCATACAAGTCGTTTCCATATATATAAAAGTTTAATTATAAACAGAAATCAATGGTCATGATTCGTTAAAATCTAAGCAACAAATTACATGCACAATCTTAGGGGTTAAGCTCTATGATTAAGATAACTAACACCTAGGGTTCACTCATCAAGGGTTAGGGTATAGTATCATGCCCACAAATCTGGTTAATTCGTGGTCCATATAGCATTTTCTTACTTAGAGTCTAAGATCATGCTTAGATATTGACAATAGATGTGGCATTACACCAACAAAATGAAGATATTAGTATTAGTGGATTTTTTATCTCAAAACAAACACCAAAGATAAATAAATTTTAACAAATGCATATTTGATAAGTTAGAAAATTATACAACAATGGACCATGTTAAGATTAGAACCCTCGACAGTGTGTGAGTATCTTGGACCGAGATTCTAAACCAACATTTAAACAACGACCATGAGTTGAGGGTGAGTCTATATTAAACTTCAGGAATTAACAATTGGTACATATTGTATAAGATATTAAATTGAGTGTCTTGATAGACAAATATGATCTTACACTAATACAGTAAAATTTCAATTGGGATGACTAAATCTATGTAATATTGAGTTAAGTTGTCGTTATCTGAGCAAAATCATTGGTTCAGAGTTCCTCCAAACTCGACATTCATTGAATGGCATATATTGTATAAGACAAAAAAATTGAGTATCGTTATTGACAAATCTTGACATAAGATTCTATATAGGACGTGATATATCTTTGTGACATTATTTATAATCAGTGAATCGAAACATTATAAGTGAATGTGTTAAGTATTGAGAATTTTTAATTTACAGACGCACCGCATAGTCACCAAGGAATGCAAATGTAAAAAATTTAGAAGATCCAAAATAGTTTGAACATATAGATAAATTGATTAATGTAAATGGTAAACTTAAACTCACCGGCCAATAGACCGGGTAAAAAGCTAGTACTTTTATGAAAGACGATGGGAGATAAGCTGGGTGATGGCGCTGTCAGTTTTGACTTTGGACTTGGGAGTCAAGGCCCAAGAAGGCGGGCTGCAAACCCAGTTCATGTGCTCTATATTTTAGCAGCATATAGGGTCAGTAACCACTTGGTTACTGACATGTCAGTAATGAATAGGGACCATAGATCTAAGAGGTAGGCAATCGTGTGGTTGGGCCGAATGCTGAGTGGAGAAAGGTATTTTTGTCCGTTTATATATTAAATTCTTTATTTTATTTCGTATTTAATGGCTGCACTTTTAAGGAAGGAAAGATAAATCACTTCTCTGCAACTTTCTATCTTCCTTCTCTCTTCCTTTTTCTCTCTCAATCTCTTTTCCAGATCCTCTCTCTTTCTCTCTTCCTTTTTCTCTCCCAATCTCTTTTCCAGATCCTCTCTCTTTCTCTTCCTTTTTCTCTCTCAATCTCATTTCTAGATCTAAATCTGCTCCCTTCTCTTCTTCTTTATTTTTTTTCATGACGAATAAAAATTGGAGCCACTCTTTTTCATTGCATTTCTTCTCTTCATCATCTCATTGGCCTCAATTTCGATCTTTCTCATTTTTTGGCATTTTGGTGTTCTTGATTGCGGAATAGGAAATGAGAGGCGACACAAGACAATCTTTTTTCTCTACCTCCTTCTGTTTTTTTTTCTTTTAGATAATATATATTGATATTATAACTCTATACCATATGGTATTCGGTGGTAACGAAATATATATTGATATTACCACACTATACCATATGGTAATGTATGGTATTGTGTGGCAACGAACTATATATTGATATTACCACACTATACCATATGGTAATGTATGGTATTGTGTGGTAACGAATTATATATTGATATTACCACACTATACCATATGATATTGTATGGTATTGTGTGATATTACCACACTATACCATATGGTATTGGGTGATAACGAAATATATATTGATATTACCACACTATACCATATGGTATTGGGTGGTAACGTAATATATATTGATATTACCATATTATACCATATGGTATTGGGTGGTAACGAAATATATATTGATATTACCACACTATACCATATGGTATTGGGTGGTAACGTAATATATATTGATGTGTTAAATTCTTTTCATACCATATGGTATGGTCAATACCAGTCAATACCATATGGTATAGACTGGTAATAACTGACAATTTTTTTTATGTCCAAAAAATATCAAAGTGGATATCATTTTGAAGAAATCAATTAATCTGATCTAACTGTGCAAAAAAAATTAAATTTCGACTTAAAACGAGTGAGAAATCATCCGTTAAAGATTAAGAGAAGGAAAATTAAATGTTTTGCGAGGAGAGAGAAGGCGCTGATGTGATCCGGTCAAAAGTCAGCCTCAGCAATAAATAGGAGAAAGTGTCATTTTACTGTACTGCCCTTTTCACATTTAATTTAAATAAAAAAGTGTCTGACACTTGGGGACCATAGAAGGGGTTACTGATGGGTTACTGACCCATTAGTTACTCTGACCCGATCTGGACCCCTATATTTTAGCGTAAACCTCTATAAGCTTTGCCGGTAAAAGAGCACACTTTAGAAGAAAATGCTTCAGAATTTTTTCCCTGCCACCAACCACGACTCGTATTCTCAATCAATAAACCCTGTTTTTCTATTGACAAAGTGAATAAAGAACTCTGTTTTATCTGTCTAAAATTTCAAATAAACAAAGTTAGGAAGTTTTACTACTCGGCCATCCTCAGCAGCGATCACCCGGACCTTCCGAACAGGACAAAACTCACATTACCAGAATCCAACGTTCTATATATGCCTCCCACACCACAACTCTACTCAACAAGTACTATAGCGGCAGCTTCTGATTCATACGGCTCACTTCTTGTTAGCTGCTGTTTGTCGTCTGCAACCAACAGTTTTCTCTTCTCATTCAGAGAAAAATCAAATTTCCCCGATGGCCATGGCCGCGGCCACCAATTTCTGCGCCTCTTCTTCAATCTCCTCGACGCAGAAGACGGCAGCAACTCTTCCTTCTTTACAGGGTCAGACTTGCTCCCTGCCTTCGAGACATCGTCATCTTCTCTCTGCCGGCCGTAGACCAGCCGGGCTTTCCGTGGCGGCGACGGCTGCGCCCACCGCAATTCAACAGGTGGACGGAGCTACAAGCTCCGGCAAAGCTTCCAAGGCTCTGCCTTTTAGAGTGGGTCATGGGTTCGATCTCCATCGGCTGGAGCCTGGATACCCTTTGATCATAGGCGGGATTAACATTCCTCACGAAAGAGGCTGCGAGGCTCACTCCGATGGTAAAGAACACAAATTTATTTACCATTTTTTGTCAATTGAATAGGGATTCAACTTGGGCTGATTGATTTCGTTGGTGGGGTAGTTGTGCCATTGGGGATTGGTTTTGGCTATCGAGTGTTTCAGGAAATGTTTGTGATGATTCAGAATCAGAACCAATTTTTGACTTACTATATTAGAACCCTAGATGGAATTCAGAACCAATTCTTTTGTTTTTGTATCGGGTTTTTTTACAGGAGATGTGTTGCTGCACTGTGTTGTGGATGCTATACTGGGAGCACTGAGTCTGCCTGATATTGGACAGATTTTCCCTGATAATGATCCTAAGTGGAAGGGAGCAGCTTCTTCTGTTTTCATCAAAGAAGCTGTGAGTCTTTCTGATTCATGATTTCTGTTGTCTAGGAATTGCTTGATGGAGTTATCTTAATGGCTGAAAGTTTGTGTTCACTATCCTTGGCTGGATTTTAACACTGCATTCGTGGTTAGTGGACTTGATACATCAAGATACTGTCTCATAAGATTGAAGCTTAACGGAGTGGAATCAAAACCTGTTTGAGATACTTGTTATTGGAGAAGAACCGAGCTGAAATTTGTAATCAGAGATTTTTTGGACTTCCATCACTATCCCCTGAATTGCTTAACCAAGGTGACTTGGTTTCATCTCAGTCAATGCTCTACTGGTAGTCTCGAGGTTGAGTCAAATCTGGTTTTCCTGTAGCCTGTAGTATCCCAGTTATAAAAGCTAAAGCATTTACTTTGTGCCCTTTAAAGTTGTAGAATTTCCATGTTGTTGTGATCTGCTGCAACCACAGCTTGAAAGATTTTGGAGTTCTTGAAGTTAGGATGAGCTTTAGAGATGCATAAACCCGGGATCTGTTGTGGACTCTTGCTTAAATTGTTTGATTTGTCGCAGTAGATAGATGTCCTTCCTTCACCATGCACTTTCCATGTGTTTTTAAGAGCTACAAAACTAAAATTGAGGCATACATCATTATATCAAGTTAGGGAGACATTATCATCTGCCTTAGCCATTCAGCTGGAGGATTGTTGTGTTGGCAGCTTGCAAACTTTTGAAGCCACATGGAGCAGAGGGTACCTTCTTGTGTGCTTCACATGTTCTTTACTATGTATCATGATTTGAACTGTTATGTGAAGTACATACATACGCATTGGTCAGTCCATATTGCCGAAAAGCCTAACCCTCCATTTCCTGCCTCTGTCTCAGGTGAGGCTGATGCACGAGGCTGGTTATGAGATTGGAAACTTAGATGCCACCTTGATTCTTCAAAGACCGAAACTGAGCCCGTTCAAAGAAGCCATCAGGGCCAAATTGTGTGAACTACTGGGAGCAGACCCTGCTGCTGTAAACTTGAAGGCCAAAACCCACGAGAAGGTCGACAGTCTGGGCGAGAACAGAAGTATTGCTGCCCATACCGTCGTTCTCCTAATGAAGAAGTGACGATGCCAGAACTCCACCACAGCTGCCGATCAACATGCAAATTGGTGTGCCTCTTCTTTGGCATGTTGTAAGCTTGAACAAACAATACCTTCTAGCAGTCGGAACAGTAATCTCGTGTACGTACGTACACAGTTGATTTTGGAAGATTTTCGTCGATATATATAGGGTATAGGAGGAGTATTCTCTTCCCTTTGCAAGGTTCTACTTCAAATCGAGGCTGCAGTGTGTTTCGAAACATATTTCTGAGGTGTTAAAAGAAAAGCTTATCAGCTCTTTCTAAACTTGTGGCGTTTTGAATGTAGAACACTGGATTTTCTCTCAGTGAACTGGATTGTTTCTGTTGAATGGTTGATCTCCAATTTTGGTCGTGGAAACAAATACTTGTCATTGTCATGGATGATCTTCAAGCCGGCCGGAGTGAGTATGTCGAGTTAGATCCGCGAAAGGATCAATGCTCGATATCTTTGGACCTGTGCCAATTTATTTGGATCCATTAAGACCCAAGGCCCACAAGGAGATCCAGGGCCATATTCCTTGTGATATCCATTTCAACTTTCAAGTACTGGAGCGCGCAATTGGAGGCGGAGGAAGCGCAAGCAAAGATCAAGCCATCGTCGCGACGAATCAAAGTGCAGACCTAACGTTAACTGCAACATTGAGGACAAAGTCATTTTAAGGGGAGGGAATTGTTAGAAACAACGAGAATTGGGTTCGGCTCTATTACTTTTATTGTTTAATTAGCGTTAGGAGCCCATTAGTGCCAAGTAGTTTAGGGTAAAATTAGGATTAATTATAAGGTTATTCCCGTCTATTTCCTATATATATATTGGGTATTACGTCATAACTAATAAGAAAAGTATTATCAAAGTACCTCGCAAAATTCTAAAATCTTCTGTCAATTTCGTCACCTATCCCTAACAGTCAAAGACCATTCTTCTTCTTGATCCCCAATTTCTTCTAAATCACTAATCCCCAATTTCTATCAATTCTCATTTCTACTAGGCGGCGATGGCGCGCCTTGTCGCGGAGTGGAGATGGCCTATGTGTATTTATTATGTGGTCTATTATGGTGTTTTGTTAGTATTATTAGTCTAAAATTAATTTTTTGTTAGCAGTTTTGTTAGTAATATTGACTTGACCATATGATATTAACTGAGAAGAGATATATGGCGGTCAACATCCAATTTAATTTTTTTGAAAATTTTGGCTAGTAAATGATATTTACCTAAACCCGAGTAGACCCATTGATTATAGGTAGGGTATGTGTGACGTATATATGAATTTGAAAGTTTGTAGATGGGTTTGGGTAGGGTTTGGATATTTACTTCCATAATCTAAATGTGTATTAGTTGGGTATGAGTGTTTTAATTACACATACAAAATTAAACCTATTTGTAGAACTTTAAAAGTTTAGGTACCAAAATGTAATACAAAAAAATTTTAGGTACTAAATTGTAATGTTCCATCAACATTTTGTGGACTTATATGCCAAAAAAATAAATTTAGGTTATAAATCTAAAGATCTATTAAGTGTAGGTATAAAACTGTAATTTGCATAGTTTGATGCTTAATTCCTTGTATGGTGATGTATTTAAGATGATAGTTATTTGCATAGTTTGATGCTTAATTCCTTTTATGGTGATGTATTTACGATGATAGTTATTTACTTATTTATAAAAAAATGAAAACTATTTATTTGATATGTGTAGATACGTAGCCAAATATTTCATGTATAATTGTTGAAAATTCTAGTCCGGGTGAAAAAGAAAAACTATAGAGAGAAGCAAAAGGAATACAAACTGGAACTCGCTTAAAATTTCATGCCCTTAAATCTCATAGTGAAAAATGACGACTTTCTAATAAGTATAACCATATATATTTATTTTTTATTGGACTGGACATTGAGCTGAAAAAGTTAGTGGTTCATGGTTCAATTATTAGTTCTCTAGACTGTTGGTGACTCGTGTACGAACCCGTTTATACTTGTGATTGGAATACACAATAGTGTACTAATTAGTGTTAGACAAAGAAGGCAAAGAAAGAAATAAAGAAGGGGTTATGGAAGGCGAGTGAAAAATGAAACGAAGAGGAAGTAGATGATGAAAAAGTTTTGACCAATTTTTTTAGTTGAACGTCAATACAACAATCAACCCTTTTCACCGTAGCAATTTATTGACACTTGCTTATGTAGATGTCGCCTATTTTGTTACATGTAGTTAGTAGAAGTTTGTTTAGTACCCCGTAAGTTAGGGCTGGCTATTTGGTCCGGACTGTTTGGTTTTACCCGAAACCGGACAGTATAACCCGGACCGGGACTGGACTAGGACTGGATAGCAAACAATCCAATCTCATATTCGCGCTTAGATTTGAGGTAAGAAAAACCTTGTGGGACCGGATCGAAAACTGGATAAAGACCGGATAAGAGACCCCAACACCCAAAACTTAACCAACTCCTCACCCTTTGAGGCCTCAGGCCACTCAAATCCCCACAAGCTCAATCAAAAATCAAGACCAAACTGAGACCGGACCGAGTCAAGACCGGACTGTATCCAATCCAATCTTTGGTCCTTATATTCCCGAAAAGACCGGACCGGGACCGGGTCAATTCGGGCCAATTTAACAGGACCGGACTGTATAGCCACCCCTACCGTAAGTGTACTATATGAGTTTATAAATTCGTTCTTTTAATATTTTAGAGTCGTCCCTCTTTTATCATTTCTTTAATGATTCACGTAATGAGCAAATATAAAATGGTCGAATCTGCTCCTACAGTTGAGTGATACAACATCTTGTATTGTACAAACTAAATTTTTACTTTTATGTTATGGTGGATTGGATTCATGGATTCAAGTGAAATCTAAACATTAGATCGATATGTAAATTTTAAAATTGTAGGTACGAAAATCTTATAAAATTTAGATACTAAAACATAATTGTTCAATAATTTTATATTAAAATTAAATTTGGGGTATCAAAATATGAAATGTACATTATAGTGACTAAATTATGATTTAATTAAATTTGAGGTATCAAAATGCAAATAATTAAGCAACAGTAACCAAACTTCACATTATATATATATATATTAATTTGAAACTCTAAAGAATATTTGTTCCAACAGTAGACTCAGAGTCTCCAAATTACACCTCGGTAGAACCTCTGATCTAAGACCGATCCAATTATATACATTTTCGGGTTTTCGGGTTTGTTTCGGGTTTCGGGTTTTTCGGATTCGGTTTTGCTTATCGGATTTTCAGGTTTCGTCTAAAAACCTCCAATAAATAGAACTCAGCCCGTATTCTTAAGCGTTTGGGTTTTCGGGTTTCGGTTTTACTTTAACCGAACCCGAACCCGATAAGGAATTTTCGGGTTTCGAGTAACCGGAACCCGCAAGTCCTTATCGGGTTCGGTTTTAGTGGTTTTTTGTTTCGGGTTTTCGGGTTTTTTTGGGTGTCGGTTCGGGTAACCGAACCCGACCCGAACCGTCACCCCTACTTCACATTATATATATATTAATTTGAAACTCTAAAGAATATTTGTTCCAACAGTAGACTCAGAGTCTCCAAATTACACCTCGGTAGAACCTCTGATCTAAGATCGGATCTGAAATATCAATGATAGAACACTTATAAGAATTTGAATTTCATGTCCCTTCTGTTATTTGTCCATCAATGCTTGATGGATAACAGGGGAATACCAGTGTGCCTCATCAGTCTCCACGATCAAATGGTATTCTATGTGATGTAGATGGCGAAACGAGGAATCATCTCTTCTTTTACTATTCATTTTCGACATTTATTAATTGGGTTAATTGTATGGTTGGTCACTGAGATTACAAAAAACGTTCAAGTTTGGTCACTCGAAATATTTAAATTCATTGGTGGTACTTCATTTACTGAAACCATTCACGTTTGGTCACTCTCCGTCCAACTCCGTTAAATTTGACTGATGTGGCAGTCAATTCTCAAAGTTGACCGTTAACTTAGTGACATGGCAACTAAAAAATTATTAAAAATAAAAAAATAAAAAATTATATTTTCCACCTCATTATTAGTTTATTACATTCATTAAAAAATAAAAAAATAATAAAAAATCTAATTTTTTTTTTAAAAACCCCATACCCTACCCGAACCAACCTCACCTTCGGGAAGGTGAAACGACGAGGCGAGGCGTTCTGGAGCGGCGGCAAACTACTGGCCCCCGATTGGTTCCAGAATTTGGACCTCCGCAACGTGGCTGCGGTGCATAGCGTCACAGATCTCGATGACGATTATTTGACCTTCACAGCCGCCGCTTCTCTGTAACGAATGGGATCAAAGGGTAAACAGGATATAGTTTGGGGACTAGTTTGTAATTAGGAAGGCATATAAAACAAAGGGTCTGCTGTAATGGAGAGTTATCGAATAACAATTTACACAATTTGCTTCTTCTGCCCTATCTCTTCTTCTTCCTCCTGTTCTTCCTCTTCTTCTTCAACTTTTTCCCCTTTCTTACTCTTTCTCTGTAACCAAACAACTCGCCAAGACTATTCTTTCTCCCAGGGTGTGACAAGGTGGTATCAGAGCCCTGTCTTGGCACAATGGCGGCGACTCGAGGTACAATCGACGAACGCTTGACTAGTTTCATGGCGTCTTCAGCTCAGGCGGCGGCGGAGCTCGATGACAAGATCGCCAATTCGCATATGGTTCAATTGCAGGAGCTCCTGACCCGCGCGGAAGGGCACTCGCAACAATTCGTCACTCTGACGACGCGATTGGACGGGTTAGAGACTCGTTCAGCGACTCGCTTCACCGAATTGGCAACTCGTTGGGATAATTGCTTTGATCGATTCACTCGAGAGGTTCGCGATATGCTTCACGGAATTCTTCCTCTTAGGCCGGTGGAGGCAATTGTCGGCGCGGTTGCACCGCTGGAGGATCGGATTGGCGCTGAGGGCATTTTGCCTCTTCCACAGAATCATCAAGTAGCTGAGCGGGAGCCCTTTCAAGCTGCTCCAGCCCGAGGTAATGCTCATCTATTGCCCCTATTAGAATTTCCCTCTTTCGATGGTGAAGCTCCTCGCGAATGGATTAGCAAATGCGACAAATTGTTTAAGACCTATGCAATCCCTAATGACCAGAAGGTAAATTTGGTTGTGATCGGTTTTGAGCGACGGCCCGATGTTTGGTTTGAAGGTTGGAAATATGGCAAAAGTGAATTAGTGTGGGAGGATTTTGTGGTTGCTTTGTGCCAGAGATTCGGTAGTCGTACTTATGGCGGTGTGGTAGCTGCATTCAATAAACTTAGGAAGCAGGGCTCTTTGGCGGAGTATCAAGAGAGGTTTGAGGAGTTGAGGTCCCTGATGTCGCGATTCAACCCGGCCTTGGACGAGATCTTCTTCATTAGCAGCTTTATCAATGGCTTGAAACAGGAGCTACGGCTAGTTATGTCTATGTTGCAGCCCCAAACATTAGCTCAAGCTTACCGTCAAGCTAAATTGGAAGAAGATGCCATCGAGGACTTCAAAAGAAAGAAGCAATCCCAGCTTGGTGATTACTTAGAGATGGATGTGGATATAAGTACTGTGACTGTTGAATCCCTTCTTTCTCCTAACATGGTTGATGGGAATGGTGGTTTACTTGCTGAAAAAGAATATATTCCTATTGTTACACCTGGCTCAACTGTAAAAGAACCTGGGCTGTTTTATTCGGAGTTGCAAGGTGTTTCAAACAAGCATATGGAAGTGGCTGGCTATGTGTATGATGAGGGCAGCCGGGTTCACAGTTGGATGTTGATGAACTGTCATAGGTATTCGTGTCCTCGTGTGAAGTTTAAACAAGGAGATACATGTATCAACTACAAGGAACCATATGTGGAAGCTTTGGGGACTAATGCTGTTGGTGATTGTTTTAGTTCGGATAATGGTGCCACTGAAACTCAGGTGCAACAAAACTTAATTTATGATGATACTGATGTCCTACCAGTTGATTCTCTTGAATATCGAAGTTCTTATGGTGTTGTATTCTCTGATGGATCGTTGATGAATTTCCCGGATACTGGTGGCAATGATTTTGTTATTGGAAGGCCATTTCCTACCCAGCCTGCCCTTCTTTTCATTCATTACAGTGAAGGCTTGATTCCTGGTAAAGGGGATTGTATTTTGCTGAAATTTCATGGGTACTGGTGGCCTCGGGTGAAAATTAAAAGAAGTGACGTGTTTTCCAACTTCAAAGAGCCATATAACGATTTGGGTTCAAAGGCTGTTGTTGGATTTGATGCTGAGTTGCTGTTGTTGAGGTCGAAACTGCTTTCCAGACGGGGTGGACAGAATGCATGTGTTGGCGTTGTAGCTGAGGCGATTTTCAGTGGTGATTATGAGCGCTACAGTGTGGGTGTTAGTAAGATGGATAAGGGGTTTTTCGCCTATGTGAACGAAATTGGCAGCCTAGATCATAGCTGGGTGTTAGTGAGCAGTCACGGTTTGTGGTGTCCTCGGGTGCAGTTAAAACGAAAGGTCGCTTGTCCCGACTTTAAGGAGCCATACAAAGATCATTTTCTCGTGGAAGGCCAGCATGAAGAGCTCTGTAATTGGAAGTTTCATTGGGTTTGGGGGCTGAATAGTGACAAAGCTACTAATGCTGCAAGTGACTCATTCCAGGCTACTTTCTTGGCTTCTCTTAAAGTTCATACCACTATCATTACTTCCTCTGCTGCTGTACCATTGAGGGAAGATGATATTTCCAACACCTTTAGCATTTATGGGCTAGAGAAACATGGTATTGGTCGTGGAATTGGTTTGTTGATGGCCCAAGGGAAAGTTCAGCAAGCTGTTTTCATGATCGGGCTTGAAGATGCAGTTGACTTACAGCATGTTAATGGTGATCGAATGATAGGTGGTAGGTTCGATAGTTGCTTGGTGTTGGGGGAATCTCAAGGGAGAGGTATTGGCTTTGACTTCAAAGAGCCATACAAGGAGTTTGGTTGGGCTATGGTCCTTTCTTATGGAAGAGGTAATTGTCCTGGATTCAAGGAGCCTTACAAGGATTCTTCTTTCGAGGAGGGACATGTTGAAGATTGGTTTGGTTGGGATTCTTTCCAATACTGGTTGTTGTGATGTACAGAGATGCATATGCTGCATAAGTTTGTTTGTGGTCCAAAGTATGGTTGCTTATTGTGCCCAATTGACGGATTGATTCTTAGCTGCTAGTTTCTTGTTGTTTTCAACAGGCTTGAGGACAAGCCTGACTTTAAGGAGTGGGGATTGTAACGAATGGGATCAAAGGGTAAACAGGATATAGTTTGGGGACTAGTTTGTAATTAGGAAGGCATATAAAACAAAGGGTCTGCTGTAATGGAGAGTTATCGAATAACAATTTACACAATTTGCTTCTTCTGCCCTATCTCTTCTTCTTCATCCTGTTCTTCCTCTTCTTCTTCAACTTTTTCCCCTTTCTTACTCTTTCTCTGTAACCAAACAACTCGCCAAGACTATTCTTTCTCCCAGGGTGTGACATTCTCCGGACCAACAGGAATTCACCTACTAGCGCTTGGGATTCCAGGCGGGGATATTCTACTGGTCTCCGGGCTTGACCTCAGACGGTGAAATAGCCAGCAGCGGGGGTGCGATGGGAAAGGGACGGAGAACGGCTGCCTACGGTGGCAGGGCCCTGAGTGTCGGCGGAGGAATGGCGACAGTTTCCATACTGTTCAGCTCTCGTCTCTGTTTCCTTCTAAGTCGTGCGACGCTTCTCCTTCATCTTCTGCAACCCAAGGTGATTGGCTCAAAAGCTAGGGGTCGTTTGCTTCAAGGATTTGGTACATGGATTTGGTACCAAAAAACCAACTATCAAGGATCTAGGTACAATCCGTTGTTTGCTTGCACCTGTTTTGGAGACCAAATTCGTGGGGCCCACGGATTTTAGTGGTCCAAATCCGTGGACCCCACGGACTTATAAATCCCACATGTTGATGTGGGATTTGGAATATGGCATAAATCCTTGATGAGATTTTACCCATATACCCTCATGCACTTTTAATATTCCAAGGTTTCCCTCAAATTTAACTATTATACATTATAATTAACAATAAATGAATAATATAAACGTTCAATTAATGTGCAAACATGAGTTAGATTTTTTATATCATTTCTTGTGTTCTAGTTTTCTTTGACCTTTTCATGGAACGTGTAATTCTTTGTTCTCCCAATTCTAATATATGTTGTTATATGTCACTTTTGAAAAGGAGGACAAAGAATTGGTAATTTATTATGTTACGTTAAAAGTTAAAACGGAAATTTCTCGTTTATTATTATTGTCCATGTGGCAACATTATGCTTATTAGTATGTATTGTCGTTGTTTTGTGTACATATCATAAACATGTCAAACATATAGAAAATTATAGTAAGGTATTTTTGAAGTTTTGTCCTTGTTTTGTGTACATATCATAAACATGTCAAACGTATAGAAAAGGGCAGTAATGTAATTTTTGAATTCAAGTAGTAAATCCCACACCTTTAAATCCATGATAAAAACATCCCAACAAACAAAGGATTGTTACAAATCCATGATGCCTCAAATCCTTGATAAATCCTTGGGTTTTTAAATTACAAAACTCTCATTTTTAAATCCATGAAGCAAACGACCCCTCTAATCTCTTTTTGTCAATACCTATACTCTTCAGTATGCGTATAGTAAAGCAGTTGGTTTTCATATATATGTTCTAGTTCCAGCTAAACCAATCCTTGTTCCACGCCGCTTTTAATTTGGTATTTAATAATTATAATATTTTTATTTCATTCATTTATTTATTTTATGGTTAAAATTAGTTGGGTATTAAAATAGATTAAACTTTATTTTATTTATTATTTTTTAACTGCCATGCCATTAAGTTAACGGTCAACTTTGAGAGTTGACTGTCACATCAACCAAAGTTAACGGAATTAGACGGAGAGTGACCAAACGTGAACGGTTTTAGTAAACTAAAGTAACACAAATGAATTTAAATATTTAGAGTGACCAAACTTGAATATTTTTTATAATCTCAGTGATCAACCATGCAATTAACCCTTTATTAATTGTTCCCCAAATGCCTGGTCTAATTTCGGCAATGGAGTAGAGTACGTTAATAACCTCCCAAAGGGAGTATGACCATTTGAAAGTTCAACTACAGTAGTTGTCGTACCGGGACACATGATTCATGTTTTTTTAAAACTGGAATTTGACATTTGTTTTTAATTCCTTTTTCCCTCCTTAACTATAATTGTCATCTTGGTCTTGAACTCTACAGCAAACCATCATTGAAATCCCAGCGCTTAGAAGCTGCTGTAAAAATTATGAGAATTTGATTTTCATGTTCAAAGCATTGAACGGATTTTCCTGGGTTTCAAAAGGATAAAAAGATTGGACTTTCTGTTGAATAGTGCAAAAAAGTCCAGCCCAAGGCAGTAGAAGGGGAAAGAGAGGAGTACTGGATTCAATGGAAACCATTCATTCATACTCATACACTTGATGAGAAGAATAATGCATGCGAATTCTACTAAAAATTCTTCCAGTATTATTATTAGTTATTATTAGAATAATTAAACCACAAGTAAACACTGTTCATTACGATAATTTCGCTATCATCTATATGGGCTTTTCTTTGTTAAAAAAAATTCTATATGGGCTTTGCCTTGGCCGGCCAAGTGAGGCCCATACCATTAATAAACACTTGAGTAATATGCGTTGGTTAATCGAGGTCAATGCAGAGGGATTTTTTTAATTATTATTAACGGATAATTCACAGGGTTACTGAAAGGCTTTCAACTATGCATCAAAGTTACGCAATTGACCAAACTCGATATTTGACCATTATATTGGACGGTCGTTAGTCAACGTGCCACGTCACTTCCAAGTAATCACATACCACTTAAATTTAGTTTCTTAATTATTAACTACAATTACTTTATTATTAATTAAAGTATCCACCATCTCATCAATACACATTACCCAAAGGTTTCGCTAGGTCGGTTAACTTGATTTTACTATTAAACCAAATGTTATGGAAGATTTATGCAAAACTGTTTTTTAGAAGACGTGTAAATTACAAGTACATTACGTAATTTTACGGTGGATAAATATTCCTTATGTATCAATTAAACAAATGTATTATATAAGTCTTTCGTAATGGTCAGGACACTTCGTAAAAGTTTTGGAGGGATAATTATTCTTTATGTATCTGTTAAAGAAACATATTAGGTATGTCTTTCGTAATATAAGTTTGAATCAAATTCAATTATTATTAACTAAACTATTAACCTTCTCATCAACTATACTACACAAAGGTTATGTAAGATCAATTAGCTCTTAGCTAACAGTTTAACCAAATGTGATACTTCTTCGTAACCTAATTCTTGAATAATAACTAAAATGTTAACATCTCACCCTATATGCATTATTCAAATATTTATAAGGTCGGTTAAATTTAATATAACAATTCAATGAAGCGTTAAACTTTTCATAACTTGATTTGATTCTTAAACCACACTTTACATAAGATTTATATAATATCATTCTATAATAGTTACTTTAATTACAAATGCATACTTTTTATACCCTAATTCCATTAATTAACTCAAATAATTATAATCTCATCAATTTGTATTGCACAAAATTTCTATAAGGCGAGTTAACCTCCACATAAAATTTCAATCAAATGTCATACTTTCCTTAATTTGATTATATTAGTACACCACACATTATGGAAGATTAATGTAAGACCGCTCTATAATAGTTAGGTAAATCATAAGTAAAAATCTTAAACCTTATGGAGGGAGAGTTTTTTCTTACATATCAATATTAAACAAACATATGACATAATTCATCTATAATTATGCAAAAAATTAGGACACTACTTAAAACTTATGAAATGGATGATTATTTCTAATATGTTAATTGAACACTCATATTACCTAAATGGTTTATAACGATTAAGACACTACCTATAGCTTATGAAAGTATCTTATGCGAATGTTTTTTTTAATATTTGATTTCAAGTAAATCATTGAATGAGTTGATAAAATTTTAAATATAATTATTCTCTTATCGCAGCGAAGCGCGACCAAAAACTAGTTCCACGGTTATAGTCCAAGGCGGCAAAACATGCATATATATTCATTTTCGCTTGTTGGAGGAATAAACATTCTGAAAGTTGGAGACTGAAAAAGGGCTCAAGATAGGGTGCATAACCATGGGTTATGCACCCATCCATAACCAAATCTGAACCTATCATTTAGAAAATCCAGATTTAAAGATGGAAAATTAAAGACCATTTTTATTTTCCCTAGCTTTTTTAATCGGCTCATATCTTTTTCGTTTTAACTCGAATTTTAATTTTTTTTGCACAGATGGAAAGAGTTCATCTTGCTCTACAAAATGAGATCAAATTTCAATATTTTTTTAGAAAAAAAATTCTAGCCTCTCGGTACCAACTGCATACCATATGGTATTTTCTTCGTTTTTAATTCGTTTTTGAAAATGTTTGCATAGAAGGGACGAGTTCATCATGATCTATTGGATGTACAAATTTCTGGGTGCACAAATTACATGACCAAAAAATACCACACAATACCATACAATACCACCCTGGTACGGGGTGGTATATTATGGTATTTTCTTCGTTTTTAATTCGTTTTTAAAAATGTTTGCACAGAAGGGACGAGTTCATCATGATCTATTGGATCTACAAATTTCTGGGTGAACAAATTACATGAAAAAAAATACCACACAATACCATACAATACCACCCTGGTATGGGGTGGTATATTATGGTACACAATGATAAAAGTCGTAAATGACAGTTAATATACTTTTATTATCATGTATTCAACCATCCTACAGTCTTGGTTTGTTCATACCACCATGGTACGCTTTTCAAACCATATGTATGTTCTTATTTCAATACCAGTCAATACCATATGGTATAGACTGGTAAAAAATGGCTCAATTTTTTTTGTTCGAAAAATATATCAAAGTGGATATCATTTTGAAGAGCACAATTAATCTGATCTAACTGTGCAAAAAAAAATTAAATTTTGACTTAAAATGAGTGAGAAATCGTCCGTCAAAGATTAAGAA